ATAATACTGTATGGGATGGCGTTATCAAGGAGGCTGCTGCTGAGCTGATTCTCTCAGACATGCTCTGCTGCCACCTAGTGGGGATGGGGACAGACATGCATCATGTTTCTATGGTGGCTTGAGGGGGAAAAAAAACCCACTGAATGTCTCTCACACACACACATAGAGGCTGAAAAAGACACAAAGAGCCTGTTTGCTGTCCATGGTGCTGAAATATTTTGGTTCAAGTGTTCTGACCTGCTTCTGAGTCACCAAACCTCAAAGCGACATCCGATTATTTTTTAATCGCATCTGCTTCACCTGCTGCCCTTAAGTCCTTTTTCTTTTTTTGGGATCGACACACCTCAGTTGTCTGCTCTCTCTTGGTCTACGGTAAAAGCAAGATCTATGCAGGAATCAAAAGGCTTAAACTCTGCAAAAAAAGAAGAAGTCACACCTTCTTGCTGCTGCTAAAAGAAGTTTTAGTGCATCACCAAAGCAGCCAGGGGAATCCTTAGAGGAATTATGCACATCCAAAGCAAATTAACTTGAGTTACAGCCAGACATATTTTTGCTCTGTCACCGAAGTGTTGGACGGAGTTTTACGAAAACATTAAAGCACTGAAGCGACACATTGTGCCTGCAAATATCAATATCATTGTCGTCAGATATCTGCAGGGAATTACACCGTGCCAGCTTGATGAATTGTGTCGCTCCCTGATAAGATGGAGGGTTCAACCCTGCACATCTTCCAAAAAAAAAAAACCCACACAGCCAAAACCTTATGGTCCATTATTCATAGTAGGGACAGACAGACTGCCGAAGGTTTTGGGGGGGATTTTCTTTGATATCAGTTTCCCCAGAAGAAAGGAAAAAATTCATTTCAGTGTTCTTTGTGTCCAGCTGGGTCCCAGCCCAGCTCTTTATTCTGGAGTGATGGCTGACCTACATGCAGCGTTGGAAAGACAAATTCATGCTGGCTCGTGAAATTTAGGCAAAACTTAAATCAGAATAGAACTTTTTAGAATAAGAGTTTAACTTTGTGTGATTGTGCACGCAATGCAACGCATGATCCTTCAGGCGCACCTGTGACTGCCCCACACGCTGTTACATCACGGAGGAAATGTGAGTGTACTGTATTCAGTCCTTGTGGTATAAGCTTACAGGTAGAAAACCTACACCTGGAATGTATAAGCACGTGTACAGTAGACAAACCAGACATGTGAAGCTGCCTTGCAGTTCATCAGCCCGTCAATCGAGCCCACCTCTTGCATTTTTTAAACCGTTCATTCAGACAGCTTTTCATGAGCTGCATACAGACAGTAAGGATGTGTGAGGTGAGGTAATAAGCAGCTGTCTGCACGTCTTTCTTGAGTTATAGTGTTGCATTTAAAATACAATTAACACACTGGTGATGAAAAAAAGTGGATTTTTTTTTTTAGAGAATCGTCTAACAATTATTTGAAGCAGAAATTATAGCTAAAACTGCATGAAAATCACTGCAGGTGGAGCAAATAACATAGATTATCTCATTAAAGTGGCAGCTGTCAATCAGTGGGATGTATTAGGCAGCAAGAGAACCATCAGTTCTTGAAGTTGATGTGTTGAAAGAAAGAAAAGTGGGCTGATCTGAGCGACTTTGTGGACAGAAAACTGGATCTGAACATCTCATAAATCTTCTGGTTTTGTGGAGTTTTCCCATCTGCAGTGGTTACTACCCACCAAAAGTGGTCCAAGGAAGGAAAAATCAGTGATTCGGTGACAGCTTCATGGGCACCCAAGCCTCACTGATGCACACGGGGAGCAAAAACTGGCCTGTGTTGCTAAGAAGTACACAAAGTGCTTCACGGCTTACTGTTCGAGTGGGACGTAAGTGAACTCGACAATGGAAGAAGGTGCCTGCTCTCATAAATCGAGCCCTCTTTCACATCATGTGGACGGCTGAGTGCATGTATGTTGTTTACCTGAGGAAGAGGCAGCAGCAGGATGCACAATGGGATGAAGGCAAGCCAGCAGAGACGGTGCGATGCTCTGGGAAATTTTCTTGGGTCATGTGGACATTTCTTTGGCACAAACTCAAACGCTGCTGCAGACCACGTACACCCCTTCATGGCAACAGCATTCCCCGATGGCCTCATTTAGCAGGATAATGCAACCTGCCGCACAGCAAAAAGAAAATGCTTAGGGAAAGGTTTGGGGAACATGACAAAGAGTTCAAGCTGCTGACTTGACCTCCAAATTCCTCAGATCTCAAGCCAACCAATCCCCACGTCGCTAAAGCTCCTGGAGTGAAAATCAAGTTTTTCACCTTGGTAAAATGTCCATATGGTGCTTTTTTTTTTTTTTCTTTTTTTTTTTTAAGTGCAAGAAGACACATCATTAGCAAAATTATCAGTCAAAACGATGGCTGAGCATTTCCATCTGAAAGCTGCAGGGCACATATAGCAGTCTCAAAAACACAGATTCAGACTTGTGAGGTTTTTCCAACGTAACAAATCTAAACAATCAATCTTTTCAACTTTTTGTGGTATTATTCGTCTTTAGAATCGGTTTCTGGTCTGGAACCGAATTGTTCTAATTTGACAACTGGAGTAGCTGTAGAGTGTTTGAGCAGAGTTGTGGGTGAGCCGGTGTGCTCCAGCTGCAGGGAATGGTAAAGGGGTGAGAGGAGAGAGAAGCAGGGACTTAACAGAGTTACATCCAAGCGATTTTTATCTGGGAATGGATTATTTTCATGGAGGAAAAAAAAGACAAGTATGTAATTTTGATGCAGTTTTAAGGAGATTAAAATATACTAGTCTTCCGAAATACTGAAATTGGTCTATAAAACATCTATTAAATTCTAGAACATAAATCCTGCTAAGTACCTCAAATTCTATATTCTAAAATATTAACCCAACCACCGAAGCTTCAGGATACAATTTACAATCACCCAAAAACACGGGGAGTCTTATATGAGAAGCCACACCAAAAAATAAAAAGGAACAGCGCATAATATTACCGATTCCAAATATGCCTTAAGGTAATAACAGAAGCGCAAAACGATCTGTTTAACGCCATAATGAATATTCCATTGGCGCACATAAGAGCCTCCGGTCACCTGGAACCGACTCCAACCGGTACCGTCAACACGCACGAGCACGCGCGCACACGCACACGCACCAGAATGAGGATGACCAGTTGTTTTTGAGAGCGCGTGTGTGGCTGCTGGCTCGGCGCGTGGCTCCAGCAGGTGTGTGGTTCCACAGTGCGCTCACACTTCGGTGCGTCAAGACGCACAGACCGACCGTCGCAAGGACATCCGGCCAATGCTTTCAAAATAACAACCACGATAATGGACACTAGGATTTCAAACATGAACCACTTCTAATGAAAAGTGCTTGCCTGAAATTTATATGAACATGTATTTGTATCTGAATTGTCATGTTTAGTCTATATAAACACGACATGCAAGAAAAGAAAATAGATTAGATTTGAATCAACTTTAATGTCATTGAACAGAGCACTGAGTTAACAAAATGCAGTTTAGCTTTTTTTGCAACAAAGTGCAGTGCAATGTAAAATATGTCAGCAGTACTAACTAATATAAACAGTGCATGTAAGTATGTAAGATATATGCGCATCCAAAATGTAAACGTATGGGTACATAGTATGTGCAGTAGGATACAGAGTGGTATGAACACACTGAATAGACTAAATGTGCTGGATAAACTATGTGAAGACAGATAAATAAACAGTATGAATGCTTTCTGTTACATAAGGAAGTCTCCTAAGTACTTCTAGTTTAGCATGTAGGCTAAAAACAAACTAAAGGTTCAGCAGAGAATTACAAGAACCACACTAAATGGTCAAAAGACAACTGCAGGAGAAATTTAACCAGTCAGTGTTTATGTTCATAAAAAGCAAGTATTTGCCCAAATTATAATGATAATACAGCTGATGTATTTAAAAATGGGTTGAATGTCACTGTGACCCAACAGCCAAGTTCTGTCATTGAAAATATTTATTTTTCTTTTTAAAAATGTGGATTAGATTAAAACTGGCCCACTGATGGCAGCAACAACTAGCAAAATGGCTTTAAAATAATATCTTATCTTAAATCAAACTAAATTAAATGGACTAAACTGCCAGGACTATTATTGCTTGTATTCTTTTTTTTAATTGCATATTGTATCTTATGTGTCTCTTTGATTATTTTTTGAATAATTTATTCTATAATTTATTTTATTTAAAAAAATGCATTCAACTTTATTCAGCTCTTCTGTTTTTGTGATTTACTTCATTTCATTTCATGTTATCTTTGCATTTTTTTCCCGTTTGGCATTTGCCTGTGCAGCACTTTTCTGCACACGATAAGGCGCATATATATAAATAAACGCGCTTGCTTGTGAGCAGGTAAACATTTCTCCTCTTATCTCCAGACTCATTAATGTGTGTGATGGATTAGAAAAAGTCAGACTGTGTCGAGCTTTCACTCTGAAACACAAGCCGCCCTCCTTCCCGTCATGCTCTGGGTGACTCTCGCCAGTTTTTACGCAAGCTCGAGCGGCTCCCGGTGGCACGCGCGCCTCCCGCTTCAGTCAGCGGAATACAAACGGCCGTTTTCAGAGCAGAAGGACACAAGTGCTTTCTGAGGCGTCTTCTGTCGGTCTGAGCTGCCCGCCGGCTCTCCGGTTCACCATGGAGGCTCAAGCTGACAATCGGGCTCCGCAAAAAATCGCTCGGAGGAGTCGCTCAGTGACAGCTGCTGTTGTCTGACTGACAGACAGACCGGTGAGACGTGACGGACAGGTAACCCGCTTCAAATCTATGGCGTCAAGAACAGAAAATATGCTCTAAGTGTTTATTGTGGACTTTACCGCGTTGTGGCCGAAGTATGGGGCCGTTATAGCCGGTAAAAGCGGAGACTGGTGGAGGTTTGTGTCTGGGTTTTTGTCTGCGCTCCGTCCTCCTCCGGTGGACACAACTGAAGAGACTGGAGACACGGACGGAGACGGGGCTGTTTTTGTATCGGCTGAGACATGGCAGCGGCCATCGCCAGCGGTTTGATCCGGCAGAAGCGACAAGCGAGAGAGCAACACGCCCACCGACCGACCGCTCACCGGCGGCGGAAGAGCCCCGGTAAGAAGCAGGGGCTGTGCAACGGGAACCTGGTCGACATCTTCTCCAAAGTCCGGATATTTGGATTGAAGAAGAGGAGGCTAAGGAGGCAAGGTGTGGAGGGGGAGACGAGGGGTGGGATGCATGCACACACACTTGCAAATATATTGATATGCACATGCGCTTCCACACACACACATGCAGAAACGCACATACACTTTTACGCACAGCCACGTTCATGCACAGTCTCCTTCACATTCACGCCCTGGCTGTGTGCACACTTGCGCACACACCCCGAACATGCAGAGACACACACTGACAGACTCGCCCCTCTCTGTGGCGACACACGCGCACACGCACACACACACTGTCATGTCTTGTAGTGCCCCATGGTTCAGTAGTTTCCAGGTACATCCATTATTGAAGCCACAGATTAGTCTGTCTAGTCTCTCTCTCTCTCTCTGTCTGTCTGTCTCTACGTGGATCTCTACCTCTCTCTCTCATTTTCAGCTCATAATTCAAAGTGCCCTATCACCAAGATCAGACTTTGCCTCAACACCAGCAAAATGTCAGGCCAAACACACAATGACAGCAACAAATCAAACATTCTTTTGTCACATTATTCCCTCTAAATTAAAAAAAAAAGACTCTTCTTCATATGGAGATGGAAAAAAAGTCAAATTCCCCCCCTCCATTCGGCGCTCAAGTCCCACTCAAATCCAAAATTAACATCATTGTCAAATCCCAGGAGCGGATCTTGCCATCAACGCAAGGAGAAGTGATTACATATAGAAGTGAATGCAGATTAATGAGAATGTTGTGATTGTGCGCTATAGTGAGCGTTCAATAGCAGAGATGATAAGTGCTGTTGTAATCAATTGATTGTGTGAGAAAGCAGCAGGTGACAGCGTATGGAGGGGAGGGATGTATCAGGAGGGGAGATGGCAGCAGGAAATGAGAGGAGGGGAGGAGGCGAACGTGAGGAGTCATGTTGATATGAATTGGTTTTCACTGGTTTGGTCTGGTGGGAGACGGGAATTCGTGGAATCTGGGACTCAGATTCCAGACCTCGGTTTTTTTATTACCTTTTTGTCTCCTCCTCTGCTCAGGATATTTTTTCCCTCCTTCTCTTTCAACCTTTATCCGTTCCACTTACTTTCCCTTCTTTGTTGTCCAACAACCTCCTCTCGTCTGCATCTTTATTCTCTCCTCTTGTCACCTTTCACCCTTCATTTTCCTTTTTCCTCTTCTCTCCTCATTTCTTTTTTATGTTCTCCTTGTTTCACCTCCATTTTCTCCCCTCTTACCCCCTTCCTCCCTCGCCTCCTTTCTTCTCCTCTTCCTCCCCCTCGTCCTGCCACCTTTCCTCCTCCACACCCTAATCTTTCCAACCTATCTTAGATCTTTTTATCCCCTTTTCAAGCTCCATTTTCTCCCCCTTTCAGGCTCCATCTTTTCCTTCTCTCCATCTTTTCATGTCACATTTTTGTTCCTCCTCTTTTCTCCTTTTCCCACCTTTCCTTTTCTCCTCCTGCTCCGTGTCGTTCTCCTTCTCATCATCTTATTACTTTGCCACCCTCCCTCCTCTCCATTCTAATCCTCTTCCCACCTTAGGTCTTTTCATCCCTCCATCTTTTTCTTTCATTTTTGTGGAAGAACGGGCTTCCTCTCCTCTCCTTTTTTCCACCCTCCTTTCCCTCTTTTTGCCACCTTCCATCGCCCTCGTCCCTTCCTATCTCGGATCTTCTCCTCCCTCCTTCATTTTTCTCTCCTTCTTTTCTCTTGCCACCCTTCCTTCCTACCTCCTCCTTTCCTTCAGCTCCTTCCCTCTCTCCCTCCTCTGTGTTCTCAGCTGTGAGAGCTGCTGGTGAAAGCTTGGCAACATTCACAATCTGTGTCTGTTTGTGTGTGTGTGTGTGTGAAGAGAGAGATTTGCCAACATCCCCTACTGTCTTCCAGAGGTTTTGTGAAGGAGAGACATACAGACCCGACTCAAGCTGATCTGAAGCCTGCGTTACTCAATCAAAGATTTGCTCCAAATACAGCTAAAATGTTTTATTACATAGAGTTAGACTGATATGGAGCTTAAAACCAAGAGTCCACTTCTGATATGACAGAAGTTTGTCCACAGTAAGTCTTTGTGTGTTGGTATTATTAGTAATTAGACATCTGAGCAGAGAACTCTGGTGTTGCACTGGTGTGGGAGGATTTTACTCAACAGTCTTTTAAACCCTGCAGTGAATTCAGCTTCTTTAAAGAGCTGCTTACCTACTTCATCACCGGAGGATTTGATTGTGACATGACGGACAGGATCGTCCTGCCAAAATTAAAAAAAGGTAATCACTGCCACAAAAATATTGGCTTTTGGTGTCGCTTCAATCAAAAAGAAATTTTGCAGCTTTAAAAAAAAAGAAAAAGAAATGCCATCGGCTGAGTCACAACATGAGCGGGGAGAGGTATTCTGATATTACAAGCCATCAGTGGCATTCACCTACTGTAATATATCCACATCAGACAGGGTTTTATGCCAACGGAAAGACAGATGTACACTCTGACACCTGTTCCCTCAGCTCTAATTCTTATACATTTTACATTAAGGTTTATTAATCAACACCAGAAGTCATGACACAGTAGAAAAAAGATAGAAGACCATAAATCACATTTTTCTTCCTTGAAAACAGATTAAAATGGGACCGAATTAGCCGAGCAGTGTGTTCTGATTCCTGTTCTGTTCTGCCTGGCAGGTAAACTATTATTTTGAATCATAATGCGGCATGAAATATCACAGCTGTCAATTACAATGAGATTTACTTAATGCTGTAAAAATGTAGATATTTATAGGGAGAGGAAAAACGAGACAAATGTAGGTGAAGTGTTCAGAGGAATGCAGCAGATTCTAATTTTTATTATCAGCTAAAATGTCAATAGGATTTCAGTTATTGATTCTGTAAAATCAGTGCTTCCCAAAGTGATGATAAGTGTTGTTCATGGAAGACTGATAAGACACCAAAACTGCACACAATATGTAATCTTGTGTTTCATGTTAGAATTACAGTCTGCCACAAAAAAGGTCCCTCCTAAAATCAATCTCGAAATACAAGATATTTTGCAGAAAAGTGTCTGATACTAATAAGAAAGTTCTGCTCTTAAGGGAGCATTAAACCTGTGCTTCAATATAGCGAGTGATTTGAAGTTTTTATTTGGGGTTTGTGACCAAAAACCCAAAGGTGATGTAAATTGAAAAGCAGCCAGTCTCTCTGTGTAATACAATATTGCTGTTACACAGCATAAGTACCTCTGGGTGTTGTTTTTAAGTGACGTAACAAGGAGCAGGGGGTTAACTGCTGGTTAGGTTCGGTGGCTGGGGAGGCCTCTGAGCCACTAAGCTCTTGAATTGCAGATGTGCCCTCACCCGCGGTTATGAAGTCTGCACAGTGACCGCAGGATGAGATTGTGGATATGCTAAAATCAGAATTCACTATGGAGATGAGGAGTTTAGTGGTGCCGGAGGGTATTAAAATCAAATTGCCGCTCCCCTTGATTAGCTGAAGCCCATTGCACTTTTTCAGGTATCTGCTAAGGACACTCCAGTGGAAATCTGCCTAAATAATATACAGCGTAAAAGTGAGCAAATTGTAATTTAAATCTGTAAATGCGTTGCGTAGGAAGCAACAATCGGAACTGACATTTACCCAGGCCGTGCAGCAGGGACTGTTTCTCCCAGATGACCTCTGATCACCTGCAGATCCCCCTGGAGGAACGGGAGGCAGAGGCTAAGTAAAAGACAGCTCAGCTGCTCTGTTGCCATGTTGCCAGATGAACCTGACCCCAGGTAGAGAGAGGAATCGCTCCAGTCAAATGGTTTTCCACGGAGCAGATGCCAAATTGCCAATATTGTTTCACGTTAAAGCCACTGCCAGTGATTAATGTTATCCAGCGAGGGGCGGCTCTGTGGTTAACACTGCTGCCTTTGCTGCCTATATGTTTTATCTGCGATGGACTGTCCATACAGGCTGTTCTCATGCCCAGCAATCAGTGCATGATAATAAGCATGTACGAAGAATCAATAGGTTACATCACTGTTTCCCTCAGAATTGGATTTTTGCCGGAAAAGCCTCTAAAAAAGCATCAAGAATACACGACATTACAGCCAAACACGGTGGGGATGTGTGGTGCAGACTTGCGTAACGTTTGATCAGAACCTCTCATTAGGACAAATTCAAGTTAAGGACCTTTATTAATTATCACTGTAGATACATATAAATGTGCCCTTTTCAGCACCGCATGCTCTTCTAATCACTAATCACGCTGAGAATGAAATGGGTGCATTCAGTTGCTGCATGTGAATTCTTCACTTGGGTGCTTTTGTGTTTGGTGAGATGATGTATGTGTGTAGAAAAAAAAAAAGAAAGAGAGAGAGAGGGAGAGAAAGAGAAATGCAGAAGGTCTTCAGTGCCTCGCTTGTATGAGACACCCATGTTGGTGTTTTATACGGCGTTTAACGCTGCATGTAGACCCAGACAGGGGCGAATTAACAGACAATACGACATGTCAAATCAGCGTGGCAGCCTGATTGGCTGACTGATTGAATCAGATCGCATTATGTTGAAAATAAAGCTCCGTGTGTGTGTCTGTGTGCCTATGTGTGCGCCTATGTGTGTGCGGACGGGGGAATACCCTTTTACTGGAACAGTCTGGAATCACGAGACTGTTGCTATGGCAACGAGCGGATGGGAATTTCCCTAGTAACAGACAGGATGTGGAGATACTGGGAAGAGTGGGAATATCACCTTGATGACTGTGGGAACATAGGTGTGGCGGCTACGTTTGGGTTTGTAGCACGAGTAAATGGATAAGCAGGTGGCTGTTAGATGGATGAATAGACGCATAAATAGATGATGACTAGATGAAGCGGGACAGTCCCCTGTGGAGAATTATTGATTTTTCATCCATTACAGGCAGGGAGTTATGCAAACAGCAACCATAACACGATTTGAGTCTGTAGCGGCACTCATGTAATACATAATATCATAAAAGATAAACGTAGCTGCTTTCAGCAGTTTTTAAAATACATCAATTAGTGGCTGACTGATGTTTTTTTGATTGACAGCAAGCATGATGGAGCCTCCCACAGTAAAGGCAATGAGTCTGTTTTATCTTACTGACAGAAATCTGTGCAGTTTGCTGTTATTTCGGACCACTCGGTAAACAAAATGTCTTTTATTCTTCGGTAACTGACAGTCCAATTAACATAACTAGTACAAGGCAATATTAATTATTGGCTGAAATATCTTTGGGTTCTTTAGGCAAGAAAAAAAAAAGTAATAATGAGACAAAAAAAATACTGAACTTAAATTCAAGTAGTTAATAATGCAGTGCACCTATTTTAAATAAAAACTGTATCAACTAAATAAATGTCCACAGGTAATAATAATAATAAAAAAACAAACCTTGGCAATAAAATGCACGTAACAGCAGCATTTATCAGCCGACAGCAGCATCTCCTACTACAGGCCACGTAAACGTACGGCCCTCTGACATTGTGAAAAGCATATTGTGTCACGTCTTGTTGCAAGTGCACCGTGCTGTGCTGCTGTTAACGGATTTATCCGAGCTGTGCAACATGTTTAGTTTTCCCTCCACCTTCTGCCGATGCCAGTTATCTCCAAATGGCGTTTAATTAAAGCAGTCTATCACCAACATCATATTTCTTTTCCTGTGTTGCCTGGATTCTGTCCGAATTAACAACACGATCAGCTCCAGACCCATCTAGACCGTGTGTTTATCGTCTAATTGTGTGGGATTCAGGCAAAACATTTAAATGTGTTGATATTTAAAAAGGAAAATGCAGATATAAAAAATAAATGAATAAAATGATCAGCTGTGAATGACTTTAAAGTGCAGGGTTAAAGGTTTGATTTAAAATTAGTCCTGAAGTGGAATGAGTCAAGGTGGAATATCAGTCATTTCCCAGCACAAAAGAAGAAAAACACATTCTGAGCTGAGTTAATTTTACTATTACTGATTCACATGAACCTCTCCCACAGGTGCAAGTAAAAGTAGGTTTACTTCTGTAACTGAGAAGGAAATTAATGTAAAGACAACAACCCTAAACATAGTGGAATCAAAAGCAAAGAGCAAGACGGGCTGATTGCCACCATCTTGTATAGTTTTCTCATTATACAGCAGGACGAGGCCTCCAAACAGCTCGAGTTAAGACATCAGACGCACTTTGAGATATCATTTTGTTACTAAACCCTCTTTTTTTTTTTTTTTTTTTAAATAAACTACGTGGCCTTGAAAATTCCCTTCGGCTGAGTCACAACATCAGCCAGGAAAAGTATTCTGTTATTACATGCCGCCACCGAAATGCACCTGCTGCAAATACATCCGCATCAGACGGGGTTTTGAGGCGACCGAGAGGACACGTGTACGAATGCAAAGCCGGGCCGAGAGCTGCGCCCTTCGTCTCTGCCTCGGGGCCCCGATTCTAGTACAAAAATACGTTTTACACTCCGCTTTATTAATGTAATTTTATTGATGACACACTCCAGAGAACGATAAGAGACAATAAATTAGATTTCGTGCAGCTTTCTGAGACCATGAGTCACACAAAGGAGGACTGAAATGTGACTGATTTCTGTCTGTCTGCAGGAGGCACAGCGTTCTGAGTTTAGATTATTTGCAGTCATAAAGCAATACGAAATATGGCTGAAATCTTTAGCATGCATGTTCATAGATAGAGAGATGCATGCAGAAGCCTTGTACCTACATGTGCAGTGACTACGCTTCTCCGCTTGCAATTTTAATGTTTGTAATCTAACTAAGAATCCACCACTGCCAGCACCACACAACATGCTACGTGAGCAAGTGTGCTGGGAATTTTTTTGTTGCGGTTCAAGTGCTGGTTACAAGCTTCACGGCTCCTCTTCCCTCCTTCTCCCCTGCTGCACAAGATGGATCCTTCACAAAGATGGAAAACACCCCTGCCCCTCGCTCTCTCTCTCTCTCTCTCTCTCTCTCTCTCACACACACACACACACACACACACACTCCTGATAAACTGGGTCAGTCTTCTTTTTTTTCTGCCTCTATGCATTAGGGTATACATTTACAGATTCGCTCGCTGTCTCTCGAACACATTTTCAAAGGGGATTCCCACCCGTTTTATAGCTGATGTGGTGTTTTATAGAGGGAGGATGGGCGTGGTTGCGTGTGAGTGTGTTTTAAATAATGTTTGTGCGGACGAAGCCTGCAGGGATGATCGAATGGAAAAGAATGCCTGTCTGCACCTGTCGAAGAAGCATATCACTAACACAGGTCCGATCTGAGCTCCTTTCTGTCCCTCATTCTCCGTCTTCATCCAGTGACTCAGTCGGTCTTTGTCCCTCAGCTACTTTCTATCGCCTTCGTCATTTGTTCTCCTTCTCCCTCTCTCATTTTGAGCAGCTGGAGTTTGAGTCACTTCGTTTTTATTTCAGTCATTTCTCGTTGGAAGCGAGTGGCAAATCTACTTCTGCTTAATTGTAGTAATAGCCGAGAGCACGCATTTGGTGACTAATAATGAAATTCTGCCTTTCATGTGTTTACTAGATTAGAGCTGTAATGATGTAAACATCTGCATTTCAAAAACTGTAACAGGCATTTTCTCCTGCTCGTATCGGAGCTTTGAGATATTCGATGGGGGGGAAAAAATCCCCACATCAGAAGATATTTGGGAAAGTTTTGATAAGAGAAACAACATGTTGGTCAATCATGAAAAGAACAGTGTAGATACAAAGCCATTATAAGGCTGCACCTCACCATCAAAGGTTCAGAAATAATTTATCAATGTTATTCAAGTGGAACAATGACCACGAAGGACGGATTAGTCCAAGAATCCTGTAATGGATTGGATGTGCTTGAATAGTCTCTCCACAGGAAATCCCTCAGGATGCAGGAGGTTACATGTGGTCACATTGTCCTTCTTTAAAACGGTATTGTATCATAAATGTGCCTTCTAGGATGCTGCGAAGGAAACGAGTTCAGAGGAAGAATTTTTTTTTAGAAGTCACTGATTCGGTTGAAACTGACAGAAGTTATTTAAAATTTTGCCTCATTGTACTTTGAGTTGCTTGTGACTATATATGCTGTACACTGTGTAGCATGTCCTGATTTGAAGATCAGTTCTTTTCAACTATTTCTCTCTCTGTCTTTCTTTCTTTTGTGTGTGTTTGTGGCTTTTAGAACCACAGCTGAAGGGCATAGTGACCAGGTTGTTCTGCAGACAGGGCTTCTATCTCCAGATGGGCCAGGATGGAAGTCTGGACGGGACCAAAGACGACAGCACCAACTCCTGTTAGTAGGCTCACCACACACACACTATACACAACCAGCTTTCGTATGTTTTGTGGAAATGCATACATTTGCCATTAAATGTAAAAAGAGTAAAATATGCATGTCTGTGGTCAATATTGTCACGCTATTTGAGGCTCTTCCACAATCTACCACAGCCCTGCCTCGGAAAAATATCTAGTTTATCAGAAAAGGACTAAATGAGTAGAGAAGTAACGAATGCAGATGTTTCCACATAGATGCACTGCGTGGTACAATTAAGCATTCAACATCTAATCATGCAATCTGCGGCATGTTGAAAAATGCAGAGCAGGCCTAGTTGATTCTGCAGCAAGAGAGTGAGAGGAAATAAACCAAGTGACTTCAAGGGGGTTTGTTGTTTGGGCACCGGTGGCAGGAGCTTCAGCTACAACGACTGCTGAACTGTCTCGTGTTTCAGGAGGGACGGTGACTAAAATGACATCTACATTCGGATAAATTGGAAAGGCAGAAATAGAACTTTTTCTGACCTGTACTTATGTTTATTTTCTTGCACCTTGTACATATAACTTGTTTTTAAGAGCTTAGCACTTCCCATATTTATGATGTTTTTATAAATACGGATATCAGCCAAAAAGTATTTGCTCTTGTTCATAATCCAGGAGCTCCACATAGAGTCCCGCTGACTCTTTTTTTAGGCCTACTAGACGACTACAACTACGCATAAATGACATCTTCAACCGTTTCCCAGCAGAGTTGTATGTTTCCGACAATGTATGAATGTAAGGCACAGCAACAAGTACGTTAGAAAGAAAAAGAAAGCAACAGTGAGTCAGCCGCTCGATCCTTATTTGATGCGATGAAGGTCAAGAGACACATTTTCTCTTCTCATTGTGAAAGGGAGAGACCAGTGGTAAAGAATGCAACCAGATGATGGAGAGAATCCTGGTTAATGTAGAAATAGTTCAAAGGTTACAGCAGTTGAATGTAAAAGAGGTGAACCTAAGTTTCACATTCAGTCACATCAATCTAAGTGACAGCTCTTTTATGTGTGGCACTGATTGATGTTGACATTGTATGCAGTCATAAAGGAAGCAATGAGACATTAATAGTGCGTTTTAATGACTCCATTTGGGACATTTCATATTTTCAGAGAGCAGACCAACTGTTCGACTGAAAGTGGCAGCTCAGAGGATTTTGTTTTTTTTAGTGCTCAGTTTATTGGACCTCTGCACCCAGCGTGGCCTTCAGGGAGGAGCTGCAGATGGATGGCTTATTGATTAATGTCCCTTTGGTAATATTCTGATGTACTGGGCTTAGAGAAAATCAAATGCTAATCAGTAATCACTACAGCATGCAACTCGCTGGTCCAAAGTGTCCTTTCCACATTGGCTGAGCTGTCTGATCTCCGCTATCCGCCTGTTGCAGCGATGTCCTACTTGTTTACTATGATTTGTTTTGCTTTTTGGAAAATATCTGCACATCAATTTCTGGCAAATGTCTTCACTCGCAATTTTTTAAAATTCCTTCCACAGCGCGGTCTGTAAATCATAGACACAATTTCCTGCAGCACACACTTGTTGCCAAGCTCCATTTTTTTTCTTCCATTTGTTTGTCTGGTTAATTCAGCAGAGGGGGAGACATCAGTGACATTTCCTGCAGCATTTAAAGGGACGGCCGTCGCCACCTCTAATCAGCTGGGTGCAAATCTTTATGTTAATGACAGGTGTGCATGAGCCTAGTGGTGGTTTATGGATTGTGATATTTATCAAGGATGATTGCACACAGGTGTACTTAAAGCACATTTGATACATTTTCTCCTACTTAAATCTGAAAACTGTAAATGTTGGTGGAGAAATTTAACAACCGCTTCAATGCAAACTTGATTAATGAGGGCTCTGGTATCCCAGATGTAATCAGCTCTTGATTACAAAGAAAGCGGCACATGCACTGTTGCCACCTTCATTATGGGTCATTGTTGTGTGTTTTTTCTTGTTTGTTTTGTTTTGTTTTTTAATATCATTTATGCCGTAATAGCTACACATATTTCCCTTTGTGTCAAATTTTACATTTAAATTTCTGTTCCATATATCTCTGTCTAATTATACTATATACTGTATGTTTATTCATCCATGTGCAGAGAATTAATGAGGAGAGAAGCATGTTTTAGAGAGCCACATGACGAGTTGTGTAAGCTCTAAGTAATAAACTGAAAAAAAATACTTCAGTGAAATTTGTTGACAGTCAAATTTGTGGATTTTTCCACAGAATCTAGGACATTGTGGCAGAAAAGACACACTGCTGCGGAGCCAGAAATCTCAGAGGTGCACATTTCCAAGCCCGGCCTCAAACTCGACAACATGAAACAACGGCATCTTTAAGCTAGCGCCGTGGGCCGCAGCAACTAATCAAAAAACCCAGTCACAAACACCCGAGACAATTACACCATCAATAATTGATGAAATCATCCATAAAATGAGACAATTAATGTACATCAAGATCCGCGGAATACAATGGAAAAGCGGGGAATTGAAAAATGCTTTTTTTAATCAATGAGATGGATTCAGAAGGAGGAGAAGGACTGGACCGCTCCAAGAAGCTGATCCAAAATGGAAGTAGTCATCATAGGAGGAAACCCAAATCAAACAGAAAATCCAATATTGCATTAAAGCTCTATTTGGAGATGCTGTTTTACTCAGTATCACTGACAAAGCTATTTGCATAGATGAGGGCTGAGCAAAACATGTTTTCATGATTTGGGTGAATTGAAACGTTGAGCTAGTCCAACCCACCCTCAGTTCACTTTGAGAAATATGTACATTTACTACATTTTTTTTTCCAGAAGTGTGATATCGTTTCTGTCACAGCAACTCGACTGTGTGTGCTTTTAAACAGGTTAATCAATAGCTGTGTCATGATTAGAGGCAAACAGGTTAAAGGGGGACGATTTCAACTGACCTCAGCGAGAGACGGAAGAATTGCAACAACCTTGAAAGGTCACAACTAATGACGGCCAATAATGGACTATAATTATAAAACATGGAGTAATAATTATCGTGCTTTCACATTAGAGAGGATCTGTGTACAGAATGGAAACATAATAATCGAGCTTTTTTTCAGGCTTTGTAATTGTCTTTTCATGGTTTCAGAACAAAAAGCTCCTTTTGAGCAGTTCCTCAATCATAATTTTCAAAGATCAAGGCCTCTCTTCTTTTGATTGGTCCACTGAAGTAGTTCCGTTATTATATCAATTTAATGTTAATTCAGACTTTTTCCACATACAGACTGTTGCTATGGAATAGACGAGTTTAAAAGCACTTTTGCGAAAACTCACTTTTGTCACTAAAAAGTTGACAATCAGCTTCGACTTACTGGATCACGTTGCGGCTACATTTATGGCAGCTTTTCTGTTTTTTTTTATGAAACAGAACAAAATTAAAGACCACCGTGATAATTAAAACCAAAATAAATAGCATACCTTGCTGCCTTTTGCTGGCAAACTACTCATATGAATTCTCTCTGTCAATAGTTTTTGGTCTCCTAAGAATGTGCGAGCTTGACTTTTTACAAATATTTAATTAAGAGAAATCTTGAAACAGCCTTTTCTTTTTAAAAATTTCGTTGTATTTTCTCAATAAAGCTAATGTCTCCTAACTTGAACAAATCTAAAATGATACGAGGTTGAACAAAAACACCAGTGACACTTGCATTGTCTTTTAAAATACCAGCCCGAGGCAACGAGGGTGTGATCAGCTGTCTGTTTCTTTACCATCACTGACTGCTGTTCTTCAAATAACACTGACCCGATGGAGCTGAGGGCTGGACTGTGCCTTTGAAAAAAAAAAAAAAAGGCAGCAGGCTGATATTAAAATGTCATGGACTAAATGAACTTGGTTTAAAATATTTGGATATCCTGAACCTTTCTTTTTGTGTTCCGGTTCTGACGTGAAAAAAGATTGTGGCTGGTGGGAAATTTTAATTATTTAAATTTCACTGAAGTATTTTAGTCCGCAGGTGATATATGGAATCACAAATTCTAACAGAAACAACTGCAACATAAAAAAAAATATTGATATTTACATAATCAATATCATCTCTTGTGGTTGACAGTCGTTTTTTTTTACCAACCTTCCCTTAACATTTCATCAATCATATTGATTAATTATGAATAAGAGTTAAGTAGACGATCAGATCAGGGTTTGATCATGTTAGATTTGTGAAGCTATGACACCAAGAGTGGGTTTTGGGTATTTGCCTAATTTATTTTCGTGTGTCATAGTTGTGTTTGTGCAGTCAGAGTTATCCCAACAAACGCTGCACAAACCTCTGGAAAATTACACTCATGTTAATTGACTTTAAGTATTTAAACCAAATAGATTCTGATTAAGGCATTAACTTGATAAGAAAGGCAGACTATGTCCACATGATTGATTTACGCATGGGTTTGCTGAAAGTGCTTCAGAATAAATAACAAACCGCCGTAAAGATTGATATTACTGCTCGACTTATGATTATTCCATGTTATATCTTAACCCCTAGAGCCCGACACACCTCCTCGGTGCCCTAATTCACGTCCCTTCTCCGCGGTCGAGGATCTCACAAAGCGTTCATTGCAGTCAAGTGCAATGCATATGAAATGAAACCGCACGACTTGACCTTTGCAGCGATGCCAGTTGCTTGTCCGTGCAAATGTAATCATAGTTACAATCTGCACACAGCTCTGTGTCCGTCTCATTTGCCTGGTTTACTGCAAGCAGGTTACTGTATGTGCACTCGTCGGTAAATAAAGCAATGACATTTGTTTTCATTCGGCACTAATAGTTCTGATGTTTCCGGACAGTCTCTACTACACGATTGTGAAAAGATACCTCCACTGCCAGCATTTTATGGGGAGATGAGTGTAAAAATCTAACAATTTCATGACATTAAATATTATTTTCCTTGATATGAAGGCTAATATAAACTATTCTAAGTAGTATTCTATGGAATAATAGAAGATCTTGTAAACTATTCTGAATAAAACAAGACACAGCATGCTTAGCTATCGCTTAGAATGACAAAGATAAGAGCTTAAGAGTAAAGGTAGTGAAATTACCCTGAAAATAGCCTCAGGCTCATTAGTTTAAGTGTATTATGGAGCTATAGAGACAAATTACCCTGGAAAGACTATGAAAGTAATTTCTGCATAAAAAGTGGTCTAATTTTTCTCCTAAATTTCTGGATGTGTGTCCTCTCTGAGTTTGAAGCAGCCCCACAAGGCCGAGCTGTTTCTTTTTTTCTCCTCACAGAACAGCCAAACCAGCTGAGCAACACACCACCTGACATTTTGCTTCTCGGAGCTCTTTGTTTCAGGAACAAACACATGAACACAGTTTGTTTCTTTTTTGTCCTCAGCTCTGTTTAACTTAATTCCTGTGGGTCTGAGAGTCGTGGCCATCCAATCAGTCAAGACCGGTCTCTACATCGCCATGAACGGAGAGGGTCACCTCTACTCCTCGGTGAGCGCGCACACACACACACACACACACACACACACACACACACACACACACACACACACACACACACATGCATACAGTATAAACACAGGCACACAAGACTCCGAAATTTGCCGAAGGACGGCGTCCACAAGACGTGCTTTGTTTCAGCTTTTTGACAGTTTTGTGTCGCAGCGCACAGGGCTGTTTGTGAGTCAAGAATTCTTAGTGATCTTTTCTTTTTTTGAGAAATTGCGAGGCTTACTTCACAGCAGCGTCCTGGGTTTTGATCTGTGGCAGTTCATTCTGGGATTGTAATTAGAGATAATTTGAAACATCATTTTGTTTTGGCAAGTTATGCGTCTTTACTTTTTCTACAAGGGAGGGAAGTTAGTGCCCCTGGATGGTAAGTCATGTGAAATTACATTTTGACTTGAAACTGTCTTTGCTTTGATAATAGTTTTGAAAGGAAGGGCAGTTTTTAAGGTGATTGCTTCATTATTTATTCATCTGCATATTATTTTCTCTCTTCAATATTTGATTGATAAAATGTGAGATAACCGTGAAAAAGTCCATTACAAGTTCCCAGAGCTTGCTTCACTGAAGAGATGAATTTTTGGCATTTTCACTTGCACGGCTCACCACTTATCAAAATTGTTCCATATTAATTTCCTGTGATTGACTAATGGGTTACTTGACTAATTCCCGAGTTAACATTTGCAGCTTGCAGCACACTGAAAGCAGGATGCGAGCCAAGACAAATGCATCATTGGCTGGCTAATATGACATATTTTAAATAGATCTCACCTGTGACATTCCGCCCAGTTAGCAGGTGCGTGGATCTTTTGGACCACGTCCAGCGACCTCGGTCCGTCTGGAGAGCATCTTCAGGCTCTTTCTGAAGGACGGCATGCTGAGGAAAAAACAAGAAAGATGTATCACTCACCTAACGTTGGCAGTATAGTTACAGAGACGTTGCTGCTTTCTTCCTGGAAAACATGCCAGAAAATAAATAAAAAAATACACGGCTCAGAGCTGCAACTGATAAATTCTTAAAATCAATTCAGAAATAAATTGGACGCCTTGTCAGAGTTCTTGATTGAGACAAGAATACAAAGTCAGAGCAAGTAGCGCATAATATCACAAAAAGCCTTTTTTCATGTCAGATGATAATATGAAAGACCTATTTTTTTAGGTTTCGGGGGCAGAAGATTGGAGACAGTTTCATTAGATTAGAGGGAGATGGGAAAAGAGAGATGAATTGCTTTGAATAGATGCCAGTGAAACGTATTAGTCTGATTATGGACAAGTATTAATTCAGTAAGTAAGAGTGAATTCTTTTATTATGTAATAATGGTCTTTTCCAGAAGCATCTCTTTCCTGAACATAAGAAAAGCAGAAAAGTGAACAATTAAAAATGGAAAGCTAAATTAGTGGAAACCTTTTCAAATTGCTGACCTAAGAGGGAAACCTAGAGAACAATATAGACGACAGAGGAAAGACGGAGGAGGAGGTGAAGAGCAACTGGAGCGGAGAGGGACGGAGGGGACGTGAGGTAGAGGAGTCGCGGTGGGGAGACGTTTGAGCAGAATATGAATTATTTCCATGCTGACTCTTCAGAGAGAGTTCACACTCGTCCACTGATGTCCCTTCTTCTGACATCATCCCTCCCCCTTCATTTCTTTTTTTGGGCGAGGGTGACAGGAGCCAAAAAGGAGGGGAAAGGAGGTGGTGGGAGGAGAAGAGAGGTGATGGAGAGAGGGGACGGGGGAATAAGAAATGAATGGGAGGATGAGAGGAGAGGAGATGAAAGGAGGGAAATGAAAGGGAGAGGTGAGAGGAATAAAGGGGAGGCCAGGACGTGACAAAAAATGAAAGGAGGAGAGGGGAGAGGGAAGAATAGACTTGGGTATGAGGCAGAAGAAAAGAAGGTGAGGTGGAAGTAGGACAAGGACAATGAGAGGAAAAGATGGAGAGAATGGAGGAAAAGGGTTGCAGACAAAAGCACAAAAATACGAGGAGGAAAACAAGAGTTAAAAGTTGTGGGCAAACGAGGAAAAAATCTGGAAAAAAGGTCATAGAGAGAAGATTAAAAAACGGACATGAAGGAGGGAAAAAAGGAGCCGAAAGAGGAGAAATGCGCAGGCAGACGGGGAGAGGACGGAGAGGGGAGAAAGTTGTAGACAGAAAAGACAATGATGGAGAGGAAGGAGGGGAGAAAAAAAAGATTGTAGACAAAGGGATGAGGGAAGAGAAAGGAGTAATCTGCAAGAGAAAGAAGGGAGATCTGTGCTGCTCTGCTGGGCTTTCTCAGCCTGTCGCTGAAAGTCACAGATGCATGAGGGCTTCCTGTAAATAATTGAAGAGGGGGAGTCCCCCCCTACACACACAACCACACACACACTGTAGAAATCCCCTCTAAAGCTGCACAGAGGGAAAGTGAGGATGTTTGATCATCTTACAGCTCCGCGACTGATGTGCGGGCGGCTACATGATAACGAATATATAAATTACATACAGCAGGTCTAATTTATCGTGATGTCAGCACTGTTTGAAGTTTAATTGGCTGCCGCAAAGATCCCGGCAGGTGCGTCGTGTTGTAGTGGTGGTGAGGACGGTGTCACCAGCCTGCAGAGATGCTCATTAAACAGTACGAGGGTGCGATCACAAGTGGAGTTTGTTTTGTCCTGGCCTGAACTACAATGGTTTATGTATTTTCATAATTGGTGGTTTAGGTTCACGTTAACTGAGCAGCCTGTGTGTCAGACAAGATTTCTTTAGGATACAAATGATGCCCAGGAGAGAAAAAGAACATGTTTGGCTATTTCTCAGGGTTAACAGGTGATTTTTTAAAAATATTAACACGGCAATGAAAAGCACACAAAATAAATACATTTGCGCACAAAAATAAATAAGGTTAAAGGAATGGTCTCGTATTTATACACAAAACAGGTGAGTCACCAGGGTGACGCTGCTGTGGATGTGAAGGATGCTCATGAGCCAGGGACGGAGCAGTCGGGGTTTTCATGCAGCTGAACTTTCACTGCAGTTTGTATCTAATGCATTTAAATGTGTCGAGCTATTATCTTCTGATGCTGCTATTGATGATCTGTCGCTGCTACGTATTTTTAATCATCCACGCCTGCCTGTAACTGCAATTCAGCTCTTTTACCCGCTTGTTCAAAACATTTTACCCTTAAAAGAAATTCTACATTCACTCTCCTTTTTTTTTTTGCTCCGTTTCCTGTTGTACACTCAGATTACACTCATTTGATGACCCACGATGCAGCGAGCCTTTCCGAATGACCTGAACTAAAGGAACAAACACGCAGGAGCACAAACAAGTAGCTCGAAATTCCTAGTATAAGCGGACATCATCTTTAGTTCGGCCCTTTTAAGCACACTGTGCCTGCACTGTATTCATTACAATCAGAACATGATGTACTGAATACTGAATACAGTTCAAGTCAGTGATAGGTGGAGAAAAAAAAAATATCTTGACATTCATTTTTTAGTCCTGAATGCGAGACTGCCAGAGCGATTGACATGACTTCACAGCCTGTGTGATTATGCTATGATAAATGTATCTCATTGTCACTCCAAAAACCAGGCAGTGGCATTTGTGAAGAAAAAAAAATCATTAATTTTGTATGTTCTAATACATTTTTATTTGGAGGTATCATCTCATCTCTGAATAAATATTCACAAAGTGAGTCTTCATCCACTCAGTATGAGATGTGAAACAGTGCAGAGCTGCTTGTTATTTTTATTATCCGTTAATCTGACAATTTCTTTTAGCCTGCAAATGTCAGAAAAGAGTAAAAAAAAAAAGGGAGATTGCTGTCTCCTAAATTGCTCTCCGTATCTATGCTATCTATACAGCCTACCTCTTTCTCAAAAATGTCCTTCTAACGTTGCATTCTCTTTGCAACGGAGCTCCTCTTATCTTGTTCTGAAAATTGTGCTGCTCGGCGCTCAATGAGATTCTTTATCCTCTTATTGCAAATTGTTAATGATATGCTGCAAACTTAGTTATACATGGTAGGTCTTATTAATCCCAGATCCCCAGCATCTGGCAGTGTGTGGTTGTGCATGTACGTGTGGTGTGTGTGTGTGTGTGTGTGCGTGTGCACGCGTGTGGGTTTTGGGGGGTGCATGTGTTCGGCTAACAGATGGCACAGTGTGCAATGAGCTGCTATGTGATAATTATGGAGCATGCTGGGGAGGAAAAAAAAAAGTGCTGATGAGTTTGGGACTGTGTGTGTGTGTGTGTGTGTGTTTGTGTGTGAATGAGACTAAGAGTGACGAGTGTGTTCCTGCTCAAAAAGTGTGTACGCGTGCGTGGGTGTATCAGGGTTGTTGGGTAGGTGTAGGAGTGAGGATGGCAGCTGAGAGGTGAAAGAGGAAATTGAGTTTTTCAAGCAAAATCACTGCACATTTCCTGTAACACACCACTATTACTGCTGGTCCTACCATTATTTCTTCTGCACGAACAAGACGTGAAAAGAAAATAGGCGACAGTACAAGTAGAAATGTTTCTCAGACAAGGCCCTCCTGTTGTAACGCAACACAATAACCGAAAAGTGAAAACCCACATCAGACACAAATTCTTATTCAAGGCAGATATTTTCATGCACCTTTAAACATGTCTGAATCTTTAACAACGTTTTGCAGCCATGATGAGTTAAACAGATTATGTCGCCTGTGCACCACGGCCAGGAGATTCATCTCGATCATGACTGAGGCTCGTGTACAGCACTGAACCCCCTTGAAATCTGCTTGTTTTTGAAATCTGAATAGTGCTGACTGTCCAGCAGCCAAGATTAGAAATGGAAATGTATTCCTTCATGCCGGCCCCAGTGACTCAGACTGTTAGAGCCCCAGTCTGTCTGCTGGATAGTTCCTGTGAGCCCAAACACCATCAATTCAAGTCCGTCCCCATCCATCTCTTTCATCCTCTTGTTGCTGCTCTTCTTTCTTTGCTAATACTTTACCTCGACTGACTTTTCACTTCCCTCTCA